ACGTTTGTCGAGTTGATTAAAAACGATAACAAGGCGAACGTGCTGCTGACTTTTGGGAGCGCATGTAAAGCGTATTAGAATAAACGCAAATAAAATATGGGCGGACCTGGAGATCTGCAAGAAGTGGAGATAATACATTTGCAACGACCGCTGCGGGTCCCTTCTCAGTGCTTGGTAGCTATAAAAACGTGCAAAATGAATCATTATAAATAACAATAAACGAGACGTAAGCCATATTTTACCCATAATAGCTAATAAAACACACTGAAAGTGGCCAAGAGCAGGCCAAGAGCAGGCCAGGACAGGCCAACAGACCAACCGACCAACAGATCTGGTAATCATGGAAGCATAACAACAGCGGCATCTCCATGTCCGACTACATTTCAAATGATAAAGGAATGCCACAAAAAGGTTGCGCGCCTAACAATAAACCGAGTCGACATGAAAATAAAAGCGAGGAAAGCAGAAGACCAAATGAAATAACAGAAACAAAGGCGAAACACAAAACAGACTAAAAGCCGAACAACGCCTTGACATTCAAGCTGAACAAGAAAGGGTCCCTGTCCAATGGCATCCGCAAAAAATGACCCACGATTCCTTTTTGTGCTCGCTCAGGCGCCAAGCCATGCGTCTTTACCTTCCGGCTGGTCACGTGGCCAGGACGTCAGGACGCCAGGACGCCAGCTCGCCAGGATGCAATGACCGACCATTGCTCCACTCTGATCCGCAGTGAGTGCGACTGTTGCTCGTATATTTCACGCTCGAAAATCTTTGGGGTCACACAAATCCGATTTACATGCAAATAAATAAAATTCATGTCGAACCTCGAGTTGCAGACAATAAATTTTTGAGTGCGCTTCACCAACGCCGCCGTCCGAAGGAAATATGAGAGGAAGCAAGAGAGAGTGAGAGTGAGGGAGAGGCAAAAGCCAGGCGAAGGCGCACGCTTAGCTAAGGTTAAGCTTGAGGGCTCTGGCTACTCCGCTCTGCTTTCATTTGTTGACTTTCGCTTTCAGGTCAGCCTTAGCTACGCTCTGTGAAATTGTTTCTATAATGAATCAAATATGATTTGCCGATTTTCCACATCCCTAAGTAGCTCAACTCCACTTATTAAAAGCTTTGCAAATAAATAGGAAATCGAGTGTTTGAATATCCCAAAATATGAAGTTTAAATGGTGAGTAGGTGTGTAAGAGCTTGGTTCATATTATATTTATTTTTTTTTATTAATGTATGTCATATACTAAAACTTAAGTTGAATGGGAGGAAGACAAGCTCAAATTATTTATAAACTGATTCCATTATTATTTATTTCTCTATTACCAACTCGTTTTCCACTTTTCCAAAACAATTCCAATTCAGTTTGTAGCAACAGAATCTGGAAATTGTTATTAAACAATTTTGATGTATTTCTCTTGCATTTATTTTCAGTTCATGAGCGTAAACTCTTCATTAAAGGACAACGCAATAAATAATGCAAACCATTTCAATAAACTCTCGCAATTCCTTGGGCGCCGACAAAAATGTGGGCACTGAAATTTATGCGCCTAATTTACCGGCAATAAAATGCGAGGGAAACTACGGTAAAAATAATAAAGATGGCAAAATGCTGAACTACGCCAACTAAAACAAAGAGCAGAAATAAAAGAGAATAACGGGCCAACGATATAAGAAACGATTATTTTTTATTATTTTAAAATTGTCTCCAATGGAGAGAAGCTGCATAAACAGGCGAGCAGGCGAGCGACAGTTGACAGCGCTGTTGCTATCTGCACGATTTTTGATGTTGCTCAGGTAACTGTCTCTATGTGTATGTGTATATGTGTGTGTGTACTGTGATGAGAATGTAAATTACCCGGAAAATGCGACATATACAGTAACAAGAGCAACAGCAACAGCAACAACAGTAGAAGATGGAGCAGCAGGAGCAACAACAACGAGCATATCGCATCAGCTACAAGGCGAACTAGCAGGAGCCGGGTTATGGCGGGCAGGCGTGGCTGTTGCCACAAATGGCTGCCGCTGTCAACTAAAGTGTAAAAAAATGGCAGCTTGAGCGCTGAAAGCCCCGGAAGCAGCCCGCACTGGTCTCGAGGTCGAGAGCTTGGCTTCGCCCTCTCCCTGCCGCTGCCTGCCTCTCCCTGCCACTGCCTGCCACGCCTTCCATGGCAGACAACAATGTAACATAATGGCGGTAACATTGAGTGCCTACATAAGTCCTTTTAATTTGAATATTTTACGGTCGCAACTTAGGCCAAGGCACCCAGGCATCTGCATGTGTGTGTGTGTCTCTGTGTGTGCATGTATTGGAGTGTGTGTGCTTGAGCTGCGCCCAAAACGTGGCCAGCAATATGAACAACTAAAACAGCCAAAATCTTGAGGACGTGTTGCAATTGTCAAGTGTCAGAGCCAACTAAGGGCAACTAGAGGCAGGTGTGTGATCCATGCGCGTATTTGTGCGGCGCAGCGACAGCCGGAAACGGAAGCGGAAATGGCGGCATTGCGCACAACGTGAGCTTCTTGTAATCACCAAAATGAAATATCAAAGTTATCGCGGTGTCGCTAATGTGACGTCTGCGCCTGCACTGCCCTGCCCCGCCCCGCCCTGCTCTGGCAAACGGCATGAGCCCTGTTTTTATCGTTAAATCTTCAATGCGTATGTGAACCCCATTCATTCGTAAGCCCTAACAGGATTATATATCGAGC